TAAGGGTATGGTTTGGCTACTTCCACGGGATACGGTTGTGGCACATTTTTGGTTATGGTCTTGACTGGTACGTGGTAGTACGACGATTGTTGGTGGCCACCGTATGATCCACTGTAACCTTCACCAATATTTCCAAAACTGTAGTCACCGTTTCCGGCACCGAAATCACCTTGTCCGAAACCACCGCTCACATATTCAGAGCCACCATGTCCATAGTTGTCACTTGCGTATTCAGAGCCGCCATGGTCGTAGCTGTCTCCCGAGATTTCAGATTCGCCTTCGTATCCGTTGCTGAATTCAGATACGCTTCTTTTGGATTGGCTTTCGTCCGATTTTACTTTGTTGGCCGACTCTTCAGTGGCCAAAGTGTAGGCGCAGAGCGCGAACGCGCAMGCCAAAAAAAATATTACTTTCATCGTGTGTGTTGGTCGCAATGGTCGTCGAACCTGTGGTTAACTGAACTGAACGTGAATGGTACTGAATTGTCTGCGTCAGGCACTTTTGTAGTGAACAGTCGATGCTCCTTCCGGGAGTACCCAAACCGGGTGTTCACTCCCACCTGTCAAATGTTCACAGAGTTACGTATTTTAACTACTAAAAATATATCATCTACATAACATACATTTCTACGTTGAGGCAAAAAGTTGTTTTATGCATTCAATGTAGAACCCACTTACCGTCTAGGCAATTCCGTGTTATGCTCGTTATAATATTCGTGTTTTGTTATTATTCAACTTGTTGACTTAAACTCGTTTGAATTATGCATGCCTACATATAAATTCCACATTTTATTTTTCCACRGTAATAATTATTTAAAACTTAAATAAAATCATTTGTACTATCTATAATAATCGTGAAAATTCGATGATAAAATTTAAACTATTATTTTTAAATCATTTTCGTATAGCAAAATCTTTGATCATCGTTAAAATAATATGTGAATATATTTTGTTTGAATCAAATTATCAATTACACGTAAGACCATATAACATAATAAGTATATAGGGTGTAACAGAAAGAACTGACAAAAAAAAAAAAAATTAATGATAAGTAAATAATTACACAAATATACTCATGTCAGCAAATTCTCAAAAATTATATTTTTTAAAAAGTTATTACGTTCTAAATTAATTTAACCAAAAAAATATTGAATTTTAAAAAAATTCGAAAAAATAAACTACTTAATTTAGATAGATAAATCTTTTT